AAACCTTGGATAAAGAACTAGTTGATAAGTTAAAAGTAGGCATGTGTGCCATAACAGTCAATGAAGGAAAGGCCTGTGATGAAAAATAACACCAGGAAAGAGAATGGGGTAGTGGAGAGGGGCTGCTGGGACCCCAGAAGTGCTCGCTGGCAGAGAGGTGACACTGAACAGACCTCAGTCATTTGAAGGTACAAACTAGAGTTTGGGCGTTTCAGGCTGAGTGTTATAACCACAGGTGATGTTTCCTCTCTGGGCCTCAGCTTTGCGTTTATTTGTTTGTTTGTTTGTTTGTTTATAAAATGCATCCTAATGTCAACCCTCACGGTGCAGTTGTGAGGAGGATTCATTCAATGACACGAAGGACACAAAGCACTTGGTTTACTACGTAACACATCACAAGTGCTTAAGAAACTGGCATCAGCCCTTCATGAACTCACATTCCTCAAGTTCGAATCCTTGCGTGGTGTGGATGAGTAACCTGTGCAGCTGTGAACCTAAAGGTTAAGAGTTTCGAGTCATTTCAACAAGCACTTGAAGAGCCTTGGTGGCACACATGGTTAAGAGTGCAGGTGCTAACTGAAAGGTTGGCAATTTGAACCCACCCAGAGGTTCTGCTAGAGAAAGACTTGGTGATCTGTTTCCATAAATACGACCACCTAGAAAACCATGTGGGCAGTTCCACTGTGTCACATGGGGTTACTGTGAGTCAAAATCAACTCAGTGGCACCTGACAACTAAGTGTTCTACATGTGATTGAAACAGCCAATCTGCGGGGTAGAAGCTAGTTACCCCATCTGATAGGGGAGGCACCTAAGGTCCAAGGCCTGGCATTGCCTAATAGGATCCAACGGAGTTGCAGTCAAACCCAGGGAGCAGTCTGAACTATTGGGAAGCAGGATGGAGCCTTAATCTTCTCATCTGAAATGGAGGTATTGGTGCCACCACAAACCCCCTGGAGAACAGTACAACTGCCCAGTAGGGTTTCTGAGGTTCAGAATCTACGGGAACAGACCATCTCATCTTTCTCCTGTGGAATGTGTGGTGGACTCCAACTATGAACCTTTCTGTTGGAAACCAAGCATCTGAAGATGGGGTTCTTATGCAGGAGTGGGGGCAGCACAAACCATGGAGTCCTGGCTTTGAGTCCCACCTCCCCGGCTGTAGACTGTCTTCACTAGATGAAAATTGGTTTTCCCGCCTTGCAGGTTGGCAACAATTCCTGCTCTAGGTATCGGGCTTAGCACCAATAGTAATTTCCTCCTCGCCTCCCACCCCAATGGCTGAAGCAGAAGCTACAAGACCAGCCTAGGCAAACCTTTGCCAAGAGCAGCCACTTGGTCGGTGGTAGAATTCTCAGCTTCCAGGCAGAAGGCCTGAGTGTCATTACTGGCCAGTGTACCTCACACGTATCCACTACCATTGTCAGTGGAGTTTTGCATGTTGCTATGATACTGAACAAGTTTCAGTGACGCTTCCCGCTGCCTAGGATGAAAGGTCTGGCAATCGACTTCTGAAAGTCAGCCGATGAACTACCCTGTAGATTACAGTGGTCCAGTTTGCACTGCAGTCCTGGGGATAGTGCAGGACCAGGCAGAGTTTCATTCCATTGTGCACGGGGTCAACATAAGTCAGAGCCCAACTAGATAGCCGCTAACAACTTGTTTAAGTCTCAGGCAAGCCTGGGATGTTAGGTGCTGTGAGTTGGTTCCGACTCATAGCAAGTCCATGCACACCAGAAAGAAATACTGTCCAGTCCTACGCCATCCAACCCATAATTGCTGTCACTGGGCCAGCCCATCTCACTGGGGATCTTCCTCTTTTTCACCGACTCTCCAACTTCACCAATCATGATGCTTTTCTCCAGGACCTGGTCCCTCATGATCATGTGTCCAAAGTACATGAGACAAAGTCTCACCGTCTCATTTCTAAGGAACATTCTGGCTGTACTTCCAAGACAATGAATAAGGAAGACCAAAGAAACCTGTGATACAGCTATGTTATTTCCCCCATTTTCTAGAAGTACAAACAGGTACAGAGAGCTTGAGAACTTTCCCCAGATTATAAAACTAGTAAGTAGCCAAACTGAGATTTGAATCAGACTGTTAGGATCCAAAGTCCACACTACAAATCTTTTACTACCTCTAGAGAAAGCACCCCTTAGAAAATGTTTGGCTTACACTCATTTACAGTCACGGGAGTCCTGGTGTGGTGCTGTAGGGTAGGCACTGCTAATTGCAAGGACGGAGATCCAAACCCACCACTCCTTGGTAAACCCTCTACAGAGTCTGAACCAACTCGACAGCACTTAACATGTACGCAATAGGATGTGTGTGATTTGAATGTTGCAGAAACACCATCTCGCAGTCTGTCCTATTTTTTCTTTAAGCATCTCCAACAAGCTTTGTGCCTTAGCAGTGATGGAGAACTGGCTGAGAGAGATTCACTTTTGATTGAATCCTCAATCCCTGTCATTAGCAATTTCTCCAGATCTGATATTTCCTTTATCAATTTTATCTTTATCAATTGATCAATTTCTTTCTCAATCCCACTCATATTTTCTTTAGCCTTGTAACTTTCAGTACAGCCAATTCTTAACAGCTTAAAGATATTTTACTTTGTTTTCGAGGATCATTGTGATTGGAGGGTGGAACATGTCTCAGTCCCGAGCAGCTTTGTGTTTTAATAAACTTTGGTTTCATTCCCAAAGTGATACCTCTCCTTTGCCTCTTGCTCTTGCTTTCATAAGCTCTGGTTTGCTTTGATCATGACAATCAGAACATGTTTTATAGGTTATGGGATAGTGGTGGCTCCATACAGTAAGCACTGGACTATAAAACGTAAGATCTTCAGTTTGAGCTCAGCAACTGCTCCAAAGGAGAAAGATGAGACTTTCTGCTCCCGAGAAGATTTTTTTAAAAGCCACAGAAACTGAGTATAAGGGTCACTGTGAGTCATAACTGACACAATGGCACTTAACAATTATAGGTTATATGTGTACTTTACCATTTATATGCCTGATCCGCACAATGACCATGTATGCAAAAGACATGAGATGAAGGTTTTACATGGGGGAAGCTGTTACATTTGCTATGTCCTGTTCGCCAGTCAGGATTTCTGAATTTATTATAACTTTTTAAGACCACAGATGTATACGCAATTGGATGTTGCCTGAACAGACGTTACGCAGTATATGCATACGTATAACTTTTTAATCTGTATACTTTACAAATAATTGTTGTTGTTATTAAGTGCCGTCGAGTCGAGTCGGTTCAGACCCATAGCGACCCTACATAGGGTTTCCAAGGAGTGACTGGTGAGCTTGAACCACCGACCTTGCAGTTCAAACGGCTTTGCAGTCTGGCACATTAACCCACAATGCCACACCAGGATTCCTACACATAATTAAACATCAGGAAATCACCTATAACAGTCCTGAAAAGGACATCATGCTTGGCAAAGTGGAAGGTCAGTGAAAAAGAGGAAGACCCCCAGTGAGATGGATACAGTGAGAGCAACAATGGACTCCAACAATAATTATGTTTGAGGATGGCGCAGGTTGAGACAGAGTTTCATTCTGCTGTGCATAGGGTCGCTAAGAGTCAGAACTGATTCCTCCACAGGCAGTAGGGATGGGGACAGCATGGGGTACACCTTTTTTTCTGATGACACATGGCTGAAGTTAAGAACTGCTATCCTGGGGGTTGAGGGGAAGACCATCCACTTGGCCACAGGCACCCTCCCAACCCACAAAACAGGACAGATCATTGTTTTCATGCTTTATTTACAAGGTATCTTGGGGCCACCACCCCCACTAGAACTCACAAAGGCCTGGGAGGGCCACAGCCTTGAGAAGTCTTTGAATTCAGCTGCTCTGGGATACAATGGTCCAGGAGCTGGGGATCCCTCCCTGGGGAAATCAACAATACAGGGTACTAACTGAATCTAAGTATATGGAGGGAGGACTCAGGAGGGAGGGTATGGCCCGTGTACATACAGGCGGGGCTGCCACAGTGAGGTTGCCAGCCAGTGTCTGCCCCTTGGCATCAATCTGTCTTCACTGTTGGGGAGCAAGATGGAGCCACTATACCCTCACTGTGAAGGTGCTGGGGATCTGTGGTCACATCTCCCAGCTAGCAGTGGTCCTAGCCACTCCGGAAGCAAGGAAGGCCTCTCTGGTTCTAGCTCAGGCTTGCCCCAAATTGCCATGTTCAGACGTCTCCCTCTCCCCCTGGAGAGAACTTCCTCTCTGGACCCCAGTGCCTGTTGAATTGCTGTCTCCAGGCCTCCTTGGAGCTCCACACCCTTCGATCTACGTCCTCTGGGATGCCCTTCAGGCACTGCTTAACAGACCCAAGAACACTCTAGGTTTGCTCCATCCCAAACCCATTGTTCTATTTCCTTTCCCACCACCCCAAATTTGGTACTTCAGTAAAACCATTGCCCTATCCTCTCTGCTTTCTCCAGACTCCCACGACTTCTCAGACCTCTGTGGCCACTAGTCTTGCTTGACTGTGCTCCCAAGCAGCTCCCTCTGCCCCAGGTAGCTTACTGCTCTACCCTGCAAACAGAGGGGTCTGTTAGAAACCAGTCCATGCACCTCTATTGCTAACAGTCTTCAGTGCACCTGGAATAAAATCCAGACTCCTGCGTCCCTGCCCCTTCTTAGTCCGTCTCTTGGCTCTGACTTGGCTGCACAGGTCTCCTTCCTGTGGCAGGGCCTTTGCCATACAGTTCCTTCTGCCTACAGTCTCATCTCCAGTTCTTCCTGAAGTTGTCTCCTTCACCTCTTTCTGGCATGGTTTTAGATGTCGCCTCCTCAGAGGAGCCCTCCCTGACCACCTACAGGCATCCTGCTAATTTCCCCTTATGAGCTCCAGGACCAGAGGGACCCAATGTTTTGTATCATTCTTCCCCAACTCCCCGGCGCGCCCTACACAGAACCTTGCATTCAATCGCTCAATAAATACGTGCTAATTAAATGGACACAGGGATCCCACTGCCTAACAGTAACTTTCCAAGACCCTGCTGGCCTCATCCCCAGGCCCTGGGAAGGTTCCCGAAGACCGGGTGCGGCCAGTGGGGACCTCTCCTGGGCCAGAATCCTTGGGCCGGGGCCGGGAGGCGCGCTGCGACGGGTGATGCTGCTCTTCGCCCAAGCTGCGGCGCAGGCGACAGCGGTGCCAGCCTCGGCGGATCTCTGTCTGCACCTGCAACGCGATTGTGCTCAGAGGCGGTGCCTGGCACGACCACCAGAGGGCGCGGCAAGCGGGCTCTCCTACCTCCTTGTTGATGAAGCAGTAGAGGACGCTGACTAGAAAGCCCTGCCAAAGGAGGACGGAGTTAAATCGGGGGTGGAAGCAAGTATAAGTACACAACGACCCCTTCTGGGCACCACACCACGCGACTACCTCAACCCTGGTCCTGTTGCCCATTGCCGTTTCGTCGACCCCACGATCTTAGTCCTGTTGTTAAGTGCCATTGAGTAGGCTTTGATTCATAACCATTGAAATTCCCTTCTCTCTGGCTCCGGCTCCCACCCCAAACCTCTTAGCTTTGGTGGTGGTTCCGACTCATAGCGACCCTGTACAGGGTTTCCGAGGCTATAAATCTTTACAGGAGCAGAAAGCCTCATCTTTCTCCCGCGGAACAGCTGGTAGTTTCGAACTGCTGACCTTGCGGTTCGCAGACCATAGTGTGGGGGTTAAGAGATGGAGACGCTGGAGAGAGACTGCTGGGCTGTGAAGCCTGCTACCCCACTTCAGCAAGATGCTTAGCCCCTCTCTGCCTCAGTTTCCTCATCTTGAAAGTGAGGGTAATAATAGCGTGGTGGTTGTGGTAATTCATTAAACTATTATTAATATAAGGCACCCCTAAGCAGTCTGGTGTGTTGCTGCTGAATAAAACATGGTTCAAACTCACCAGCCGCTCCTCGGAAAACCTATACAGAGTCGCTGAGAGTTGGAAATGACTCGATGGCCCTTAACAACAATAAGCTAACCAAAAGTTTGGCCATTTGAGCCCACCCAGTCACTCTTTTGGAGTCCTGGTATGCGCTGTGGGTTAATGAGCCAGATTGCAAAGCCATTTGAACTGCAAGGTCAGCGGTTCAAGCTCACTAGCTGCTCCTTAGAAACCCTATACAGGGGCGCTATGGGTCAGAATCGACTCGATGGCACTTAACAACAACAAGAAGTCACTCTTTTGGAGAAAGACCTAGTACTATAATCCTTAAAGATTACAGCCAAGAAAACCCTATGGGGCAGTTTGACGGTGTCACATGGGGTCACTATGAGTCAGAATTGACTCGATGGCCCTTAAGAAGAACAACGTTACTAACATGTAAGAAGCTGTATTTATCTGTTCTTTTCCATAGGTGTGGGGTCGATTCAGAGTACAACTGTGCTCCATAGGGGTTTTCGATGGCTGTGGCCTTTCAGAAGTAGATCACCAAGCCTTTCTTCCAAGGTGCCTCCGGATGGACTCGAACCGCCAACCTTTCAGTTAGTAGCTGCGTACTTAACCATTTGTAATACTCAGGGACACCCAATTCTATTATTACTGTCCAAAGTCCTGGTATGGCACTATAGGATAATGCACTGGACCACAAGGTCTGTTTTAACTGCAAGGTCGACAATTGAAACTCATTAGCTGTTCCTCAGAAACCCTATACAAGGTTGCTATGAGTCAGAACCAATTCAATGGCACTTAACAACAACAACAACAACACACATAATACACTTCTGTAAATAATGCACTCACATGCAAAGCTGGCATGGAAACCACAGGTTTCAGAGATTGTGCATAATGTGTACGTTATTTGCATAAAACCTGGTACATGTACTGTCTGGCTCTGCCACTAGAGGGCAGGGAGAGATGCTGATCCATTTGGTTATTGGTTGAACCTTCACACTCAGCTAAGAAGTGTTTTTAGCACATGTTGTTGTTAAGTGCCTTTTAGTAGGTTCCAGTTCATAATGACCCTGTATAGGATTTCCAAGGAGTGGCTGGTGGGTTTGAACCGCTAACCTTGCAATTTAAACTGACCTTGCAGTCCAGTGCTTACACCAGGACTCCTTAGCACACATAGCACATAGTAAGTGCTCAATAAATATTTGCTGAATAAATGAACAATCTTGTGAGGTGATATTGGTATTATCCCCACTTTACAGGCCAGGAAACTGAGGCCCAGCAAGATAAAGCAGAGTCTGAACTCCCATGAGGCAAGCAAGTGCAGGGCTGACCTTAGATTTTGGAATGAATGCCTCCTTCAAAGTGTGCATGTGTGTGTGTTAAAATATGCACAACATAAAATATGCCATTTGAACAATTTTCAAGTGTACAGTCCAGTGGGACTCATGCCACTTATAACCTTAATCACTTATTTTCCAAAATGTTTTCATCACCCCACAGAAATTCTACCTTCTTAAATTTTGCTTCTTGGGCACCTGCTAGGTCTCTCCCTGAGTAGCACAAACAGTTAAATGCTCGGCAGTTTGAATTCACCCCGTGGTACTGCAGAAGAAAAGACCTGGCAACTAACTTTCATGATGATTATTGTTTTTAGTTGCCATGTCAACCCTGTGTGCTGGGAAAACCCTAGGGCACTCAGCTCTACTTTGTAACACTTAGGGTCACCATCACTTGTTAGCACCTCAGTGGTCATTAACAACAACAGCCACCTGCTTGCTTCACCCTAGTCCCCACCTTAAAGGGAAGACATTTCTTTCTACTTGGAAGGAGCAGCTGAGAAGTGACAGACTCCTTAGCTGTCTGGCCTTGGAGTCCTAGATCTGTGAATGGAATGAATGATGAAATTCGGCCTTTATACCCCACTCAGTGCCTGGGCCCAAGGATGACTGTGGAGACGGGTTAAAGGATTTAGCACCCCTGCACCCCCATCCCAGCACCTGGAAGGAGCTAAGGAAGATTTCAAAGCTGAGTTTGGCAAAGCGCAGGGTGCCCCGGGCCTGTTCCTCCGTCACGGGAGCAAACACCACCTCGTGGATGCCCAGCAGGGGCACCAGTGTCAACGTGGAGCGCGCCAGCCTGGGGAATAGAGGGTAGCTGTGGCCTCTCGTCCCGCCCATCATCATACCCTGTGCCCTTCCGCCCCAGCCCGGGTTTGCACCTCAGTCGGTAGTCAGGACAGCGCATCTGCCGCGTTTTCAGCTTAGACACCAGGATGCCAAGAATGCGGATAAAGATGAGGAAATTAATCTGCGAGGAGAGAGACAGGCTGAGCCCATCCCACCCCTTCCTAGGGGATGGGTGAGGAAAGAGGGCTAACGCTTCCAGAGGGAGAAATCCCGGAGGACTAGCTGGAAGAGGCAGGGCCGACTGTACCAAGATGGTCACGAGGATCGGGGTGCGGATGATCCACCAAATGGCTTTGTTACCGTTTCGCTCCCAGCACCTGGGAGACCGGTGGGAAGAGCTGAGACAGACAAGTCCAAACACGCACAGACTCATGCAAATTTACTAATCAGGCCACGCCCATCGTTCTTAAACCCACTCCCGCTTTCTTGTAAGCCCCGCCCATGACTAGTCTGCAAACTTTCCAAGCACCCTAATCCTTTAGACCCCGCCCATGCTCCCTCCAGGCCCCAGGTCGCCATCACGCCCCAACCCTCAAAGCTGTACCCACTTCCCAGGCCCCACAACTCACTGTGTGTTCTCGTACAGGTACCTGACGATCACCCAGGGAATGACGAAAAGCACGGGGGCCCCTGTGCAGACCCCGACCCCCGCCCCCCAACCCCGCCGCAGCTGTCAGCGCACACACGGGCCCCGCCCGGCCCAAAACCCGCAAAAAGCCCCAGCCGCGGTGGGGAGGACAAGCCTGGAGAGGGGACACTCCCTGACATCAACCAGCAGGGTGATAGGGGCGGGCAGAGGCGCGCTGGGCTGGGCTGGGAGGACGGGGTCAGGGCTCACCCCAACCGAAGAACAGATAGTAACGAAAGTGGTCCCCCTCGGAGCCTCCCACGAGCACTAGGAGGCTATGCAGGTAAACGCCTTCCACCAGCAGCCACGTGTAGTTAGCGCCCACGCAGTACTGGGTCACGATCTGGGCGGTGCGGCAAATGACTAGAGCCTAGAGGGGCGGCAGGAGAAGAGGAGGCGCAGTCAGGGCCTCCAAGGGTCCCCTCTTCCAACATCATCTGTCTCTATCAAGTGGTTTCTTCCTACTCTACATCATCAAGGAATGCTATTTAGGGTTAATTTCTCTCACTCTGGGGTCCCTGGGTGGTGCAAACGTTAATATGCATAGTTGTTAAAAAAAAACTTTGGAAGTTCCATCTATCCAGTGGTACCTCAGAAGAAAGGCCTGGTGATCTACTTCTGAAAAGTCAGCCGTTATCTTCCATCTTGCTTGAGTTTCCCCCAAGTTCCCCAAAATATGATCTCTCCCACCCCAGCTCCTTTTATGAAGTGAAATCTACTTTACCTCTCAGAAGGTTTCTCATCCCAGCACCCTCTCCTGCCAGCATATGGGCTCTCCTGGTGGACTGTGGGATAAGCACTGGACTGCTAACCATAGGTCAGCAGTTCAAACCCACCAGCCACTCCTTGGAAACCCTATACAGGGTTGCTATGAGTCCGAGCCCACTGGAAGGCACTTCACAGCGACAATATCCCATGACTTGGTAACAACTGTTAACTGGTTCCAACTCACAGTGACCTTGTTTAGGGTTTCCAAGGAGCGCCTGGTAGATTTGAATTGCCAACCTTGTGGTTAGCAGTCAGTGCTTATCCTACAGAGCCATATGGCCCCCATTTTGCCATCAGACAGATTTCTCCATCTCATTACAATACCATTTCAGCGTGTATAATCAATCTCTCACACCCTATTGCCTAGAAGCAATAAAAATTACTTAAATCTCCCAATCCGGTAGATACTTCTGCCCTAACCTTTAATCTCTCCACTCTTTCTCCAAGCAGCACTTGGTGTTGTGTGCTGTTGAGTTGGTTCAGCTCATAGTGGGTGACCCTGTATAGGGTTTCCCAAAGCAGCTAGTGGGTTTGAACTATGAACAGGATAATGAAACACTGCCCAGTTCCTGAGCCATCCTCACAATTGCTGCTGCCATTATGCCAATTCAACTAGTTGGGGGTCTTCCTCTATTTCTCTGACCCTCCACTTTACGAAATATGATGTCCTTCTCCAGGGACTGGTCCCTCCTGATAATAATGATCCTATGCTTTTTCCCATCCTGTCCCGACTCACCTCCAGCATGTGAATTCTCATTGGTGGAAAAGTTCAAAGATGGATGAAATAGTAAGGGAGCAGAAATGGATTCCAGTAGAGAAGTTAGTGGAGAGAAGGAGTTAGTTCACTGATAAGTGGGAGAATTCAGGGACGGGGAGAGGGGGGTTGAGTTGGGAGGGTGCCTTCCCAAGTTTGTTTGGATAAGCACTGGAATGCGAAACACAAGGTCCAGCAGTGTGAGCCCACCAGTCACTCCATGAAAGGAAGATGATGCTTTCCACTCCCCCAAGGATTTACAGCCTGGGAAATCCTATACAGGGTCTCTTTAAGTCAGAACCCAGTTGACAGTACTTAACAAAAACAACACAGGGATAAAGTATTGATAAAGTATTGTTGGTGGTCAAGGAATCAGTCCCCAATTCCCAGAGACCACATGCACAATGTGGTTAGACAATTGTGGCTCAGTAGGATTTTTATTGGCTGATTTTCATATGTTGATCACCAAGCCTTTCTTCATAGTCTCTCTAAGTCTGGAAGTTTTAGTGAAAATTGTTCGGCATCATACCAATGCACAGCTCTACTGACTGATGGGTGCATTGTCTAGGAATCAAATCCAGGTCTCCCAAATGGAAGGTGGGAATTCCACCCTAAAACCACAACTGCCCTCACTGATAGTAGGGGGAATAAAACCCCAGCCCTGCTATCTAGGCCATTCCCACTCACAACTATCCTATATAGGATTTCCGAAACTGTCAGTTGTCACAGGAAGAGACCACCTTGTTGTGTATCATTGAGTTGGTTCTGACTCATAGCGACCCTGTACAGCAAAGGTGGCTAACATTCAGTCTGCGGGCTATATGTTGTTATTGTTAAATACCATCAAGTCAGTTCCGACTCATAGCAACCCTGTATAGGGTTTCCAAGAAATGGCTAATACGTTTGAACTGCCAACCTTGTGGTTCAAGCCAAACTTGCGATCAACTGCATTATCCTGCACTGCTTTGTTGTTGTTGTTAAGTGCCATCGAGTCGATCCTGACCCATAGCAACCCTGTATAGGGTTTCTGAGGAGTAGCTGGTGAGCTTGAACCGCCGGACATTGCATATCAAATGGCTTTGCAATCTGGTGCATTAACCCACAGCGCCACACCAGGACTCCTTCCGACTTAATGAAACGTTTCACCAAGTATGGAGGTGGTGGTGGTGGTGGTTCTGACTCACAGTAACCCTGTTCATTGTTGTTGTTAAGTACTATGGAGTCGGTTCCAACTCATAGTGACCCTGCACAGGGTTTCCGAGGCTGCAAATCTTTACGGGAGCAGAAAGCCTCATCTTTCTCCCTCAGAACTGCTGGTAGTTTCGAGTTGCTATAGCAGTTGCTAATTTTTAATTTGCTGGTAGTTTCGAGTTGCTAATTTTTAATTTGGTAATTTTGCATGGTCCATGGATTATGTTACTTAAAATAATAATAAAAAAAAAGGTTCCCCATCCGTGCTGCATAGGGTTGCCAGGACTGTAAATATTTATAGGGGCAGAAAGCTGCTTCTTTCTTCTTCTGATCAGCTGGTGGGTTTGAACTGCTGACCTTGCTGTTAGCAGTCCAATGTTTATCCTACAACGCCACCAGCATTCCTTTTGGCAACAAAGAAGTGCCAGATATTTCTGAATGAACAATTTAAAAACTTTTTTGGCCATTTGAAAAATATCCACATGCTGATGTTACTAAGAATTAAGAATCCCAAACTCGGCTGTCTTACTTCACAAAGTCTAGTTATAATGGAAGGATTTACTATTTGTCTAAGAGAAAAAATAACACAGCAATTTTTAACCAAGCAGCACTCTTGTTGTCATTGTGAAGTGCCATTGAGTCGGTTCTGACTCACAGTGACCTTTTCCGAGGAGAACCTTGTGGTTCAAAGTGACCTACAGTGCCACACCAGGACTCCACTATACTACAAAAAGAGTGACAGAAAATGACTTCACAGAAAGCACACTAGTTTTGACAGTATTATGTAGGCACTGCCAAATATTTTGAGTTTGACACTTAACAGCACATTCGATCAAAATCCAAGATGTGAAGTTACCATGTTCAAGAAACTGGAGGGTGAGATGGGGAGGAATAACTCGGAAATCGAACTGCATGGCTTGTGGTAAAAACGCACATGTTATAATAATATAAATCCTGTCCACACATAGTAATTGGAATCCTGGTGTGGCGCTGTGGGATAAAGCACGGGACCTAAAGGTCGGTTTGAACCACAAGGTTGGCAGTTCAAACTCACCAGCCGCTCCTTGGACACCCTATACACGGTTGCTATGAACCTACTGGAAGGTACTTAACAACAACAAACACATAGTAATTAGGTGCAAAGAGCCATTCAGTCTTCTCTTGGCTTGTGAAAATGTCTCCCTCCAGAGGCCGCTGGCCACCATCAAGTCCCATCCCTCAAAACCTTGCCCACTTTTCCAGGCTCTGTTTTAGACCCTGAACTTCAGTGTAAATTGTGAGCTGGCCAGCTGTGGCACAGTGTAAATTGTGAGCTGGCCAGCTGTGGCACTGTGGGTTGATGCATTCCTTGGACTGCAAAGTCAGCTTGAACCATTAGGTCAGCGGTTCAGGCTCACCAGCTGCTCCTCAGAAACCCAATGTTTGTTGTTATGAGATGCTGTGGAGTCGGTTCCAACTCATAGTGACCCTGTACAGGATTTCCGAGGCTGTAAATCTTTACGGGAGCAGAAAGCGTCATCTTTCTCCCACGGAACAGCTGGTAGTTTCGAACTGCTGACCTTGAGGTTCCCAGCTCAATTTGTAACCACTACGCTACCAGAGCTCCTTCATATGAACATAAGATACATTATTTAGAAATGATCACTGTATTCCTTGAATCTTAGAAAATGTCTTGTTAAGCCTATGGAATGATTCATCAATTGTGTTTACTTCAACTTTTGTGGGGAGCTGTTGTTTTTTTAAACCGAGAGGTTCTCACTTTTTTTCTTTTGTAATATCAAACAGTAAAATTAAACATGCATTTATCAAGTATAGTAAAACCACTGACTGTACGTTCTGGCTGTAGATGCCTGTTCCCTTGCATCAGTATTTATATTTTGGACACGTCATCCTTCAGCCAATCAGCTGCCATCTCGGCCATTGCCTAGCTATGAGAGAGAATAAACGCATGTGGTACCTTTTTCTCACAGAGCTGGATATCTCCTTCTGAAAAACCCTTCTTGATGTCTTCATATGTCGCTATGGGTGGGTACAAACTCGAAGGCACATAACAACAACAACCAGGCTAACAGCCAGGAAAAGAGCTAACTTCTAGAGTGTAGGAGGTAGTAAGTGGATTGGAAAGTTCCTGGTTCACCCAAAGTAGTCTGATTTCCATTTGTGTGAGCTGTGGGATCATGCTCACCTGGCTCCTGAGGGTCCCGAGCTGGTCCCCAGGATATGGGCCAGGTGGGGGCAGCAGCCGGTCTCGGGTGAGGATGGCTGCTGCCCGCAGCATGAACGAGGTGAACAGATTGATGTGGATGTAGTTCCTAGTGCAGCGCAGCCTCCTGGGGGATTTGGGAAGTAGACTGGGGAGATCTGTTTTCAGACATATAAACCACCCCTGCTCTTCCCATAGAACCCCCAGTGGTAGAGCCTGACCACCCCATCTTTCTGGGCGAATTAAATTGGGAGCCTTACCTGAAGACACTCAAGAGGAGCAAAGCTAACAGAAGTGTGGCAAGAGACAGGGAGTAGCCAACAGTATACACAAGCTGCAATCGCTCCAAGACCAGCCTCTGGTCCTGGCAGTGGGGAGAAGGGTGGGAGGCAAGGTGAGGGGAACTTGGGAACAACATTCAGCTCTTTCCCTTAGCAGGAGAGGGGGGTCTTTATCCTGGCAGCAACCCATTTTTTTTTTTATCATGGGGAATCTTTTTTTGAGTGGGCTCGCTCTACCTCTCAGTTCCAGGGATGGGCATGGGGTGCACTCCAGCGAATCAGAATTTTCTATTTAACATCCCCTCCCACAGTGATGCGTTCAGAGTGGGCATATGACCCAAATTGAACCAATGAGAGCCAGTTCTGGGACATTAAGTTGGATCTATTGAGAATGAAATTTGATCTTTCCATTGTGTTGCTGACTTGATGCCTGGTGCTAATGGAGCCACCTCTGCCACTCCATAGAAAAGATAAGGCCAGCCAGTACTCAGGAAACCAGACATAATATATATGGGTGAGACGCAGAAAGAGTCCCAACCACACAATGTGAGCACCTAGATCCAGCTGTGCCTGAAGCTGTACCCTTATAATTTTCAATGACAGAAGCCAATATGTTTCTCTTTTTTTCTCCTTTAACCAAATTTGTGTTGAATTTCTGTTACTTGAAAACCAGAGACCTAAACAGTAAAAAAGGATTTCAGGCTTGGTCTAAGAGTACTGTTTCCTTTTTCATCTCCTGGTCATCCTAACCCACACCCACTCCCAACATCTTCACACCTGGAAGGCGCCATTCCTCTCTGGGTTCTCACACTGGGAATGGTCCCTCCAAGGTCCCCATTGGCCATCACTACCACATTGACGGAGAACAAAGCCCGTGGCCACTGTGGAAACAAGGGAAGGGAAGAGACACAGACACAGACAGAAAGACACATTGTGAGACAAAGGCAAAGAGAGACAGCCAAAGTGATGCTGATGACAACAAACTCATGTAGCACAATGATGGTGGTAGTTGTGTGCTGACAAGTCTGTTCCCACTCACAGAGACCCGGTATAGGGTTTTCGAGGCTGTAAATCTTTATGGGAGCAGAAAGTCTCATCTTTCTCCCAAGGTATTAATCTATATTAATTTAAGATTCATAACAAGCCTATGAAATTGGTACTATCATTAGCCTCATCTTGCAGACAATAAAATTGAATAATTTGTCCATGGCCACACAGCTACTAAGGGACACAGAGGTCAGGAAGACCAAGATGCCCTGAGAGTGGGCAGAATTACGAAAAAGAGAGAAAATAAGAATCTCATCCTCAGAGCGATAGGGAGACAAAGAAGGGATATGTGGTGCCCAGGGTCAGAGTCTCCAGTCAGGGTTGGAAAGAGAAAAACATGTAGGAGTATCAAGGGTTTTTGTGTCTGGGGAGAGGCTGGGCCCCGGGGCGCCTCACCTTTCTGGTGCCAGGGCAGGTACCAGGGGCAGGAGGCTCTGGCAGTGGCGTTGGGTGCAGCATATTCCCAGCAGGCGTACATATCAAAGGACCCGTTACAGGCGAGGCCTGGTGATAGGCGTGGTAGGCAGACTCCACGTGGACCTAGAGCTCCGCGCTGGTCCAGCACCAGCTTACCTTTTCCCTCACAAGTCCCACCCTAACCCCACCTACCTAGAACTGGTCTGGTCCAAGTGCTACAAGGCTCCGCCCACTTTCCGAGCCCCATTCTGGACTCCTCCCACTGAGCTTGTCACAGGCCCCGCCCAAGACTCCGCTCACTTCAAGCTTCATTCTCCCTGACTTTATACCACTAATAGGGTCTGCCCCAGTTGCCACCGTATTCGGTTCTTGGTTCGGCCCATCTACCTAGCCCACTTCTATTATAGATGTCTCCTCTTTCAAGCCTCTTTCCTAGCTCCCCCTGGCAATCCTGGGTTCTCCTTAAGGCCTGTCCTCAGCCTTGAGCCCCACCCTCTGCCACTAGCCGTCCTGTCTCACCTAAGGGGGCCGTCACCGCCTCCAAGGTCTGTTGGCATTCCCTGCGGTACTTTTCCCAGCGCTGGTACAGCTCCCCAGCCGTCTGACCTTCGGAGCCTGTCTACGGAGAGGAGAGAAAAGAGGACACACCTCCAGAACGACCCCCTTCCCAGGTAACAACGGGCCTTGGGGACGCTACCTGAAATTCGCAGGGGAGGTTAGTGATTGCAAGGGGGAAAGGGGGAAAGGGGAGGGATGACTAGGCAGAGAGAACATGGGGTAATTTTAGGGTGGTGACGCTGTTCTGTGGGAGACTGCAATGGTGGACACATGACATCATGTATTTGTCAATTCCCATCACTGTGCACCACAAAGAGGAAACACTAATGTAAACTATAGATTTGAGCTTGGAATACTATATTATCAATTGTAATAAGTGGACCACAGGAATGCATGGTGTTAATAACAGGAGAGATTGCAGGGCAGAGGCGGAGAGGGAGCCCATGGGGACTCTCTCTACTTTCTGCACAATTTTTCTGTAAACCTTAAATTGGATGAGAAAAAAAAGTCTATATTGTGGGGATTGCAATCAATGATATGAAACAAGATGTGTAAGTATAACCCAATGGAAAACTGATTTGCTCTGTAAACTTCACCCAATTCATAATACAGAGTTTTTTGTTTTGTTTTTTAAGTGTATTGTTCCAACTCATAGCGACCATATATATGTATATGCATTGTTGTTGTTGTTAAGAGCCGTCGAGTCGATTCCGACCCATAGCGACCCTGTATAGGGTTTCCAAGGAGCAGCTGATGAGCTTGAACCACCGATCTTGTGGTTCAAACGACTTTGCAGTCTGACGAATTAGCCCACAGCGCTACATCAGGACTCGATGTATATGTATGTTTATGTATATGTATGTTGTTGTTGTTATGTGCCGTGATGGAGTCGGTTCCGACTCATAGCGACCCTGTACAGGGTTTCCGAGGTTGTAAATCTTTACGGGAGCAGAAAGCCTCATCTTTCTTCCGCAGAGCAGCTGGTACTTTCGAACTGCTGACGTTGTGGTTCACAGCCCGTAACCACTACGCTACCAGAGCTCCTTATGAATATGTATATGTATATGGTGGTTATGTCCCCTGGAGTCGGTTACAACCCATAGCAACCCTGTATGGGGTTTCGGAGGTGAGTTTGAAACACCGACCTTGCGGTTCAAACCTATTATGCAGTCCAGCGTATGAACACACAGCGCCACACCAGCACTGCTTTAAGTGTATTAAGACAAATCAAAGACATGGTTGGTTGGAGGATTTGGGGGGAGAGTGCTAAGAAACTACAAGAGGGGTTTCTGGGTGAGGACTGGAAACTATTAAGAAAATAAGGAAGGAGGATTCCTGGAGTGGCGCTGTGGGATAAAGCATTGGACCGCAAGGTCGGTTTGGACCACAAGGTCGGCGGTTCAAACTAGCAGCTCCTTGGAAACCCTATCCAGTGGTCGCTTTGTGTCGGAACCGATTCAGCGGCACTTAACAACAACAACAATGCGGGGGAGGTGTCCTGGTGGCGCAGTGATTTGACCAATGGGTTGCTAACCTCAAGGTCAGTGTTTCGAACCCACCAGCCGCTCCATGGGAGAAAGATGAGGCTGTCTGCTCGCGTAAAGATAGACTGAAGTCCTATGGGGATAGTTCAACTCTGTTCTAAGAGTCGTTTTGAATCGGAACCGACTTCACGGCAGTGGGTTTAGGGTCGGGGAAGTCTGGAAACTTGAATCTGGGTCAACGGGGCAATCTGAAAGTTCTGTTTTGAGACAGAGGAAGACTTAAAACCGTCCCCAAACCTCCCCTCAAGCCTTGAACTCCCGTGGTTCAGGGGTCCTCACCTCCACCCTCTGAGGCATTGGCCCCCACAGCGAGAGCAAGAGCAGTAACAGCAGCCGCAGAGATCGAAGGCTACGCATCGCTCCTGCGGCCAAGCATCTGTGGGCGAAGGGTCGGGTCATGAGAGGAAGGTCCGGCCTGGAGGGTCCCAGGGCAGTCAGGCCCCCACTTCCCTCCCGGACTCATGCATTTCAACACTGGAGCTGCGGCGCCCACACCACTCATACCTGGGTCTCCCAAGTGCTCGGAGGAAGAGGGCGTGGAAGGTGTGAGGAGTGGGCGTGGCCAAGCCTCCGAAACGTGACGGCTGGACCCGCCTCCAATATGTTGCTGGGGCAGCGGTGGAGGAAGGGAGAGGGTGTTTGCAGAGGGGGTGGGTTGCTCTAGAGCAACGCTGGGCGGAAGCGCTAGTATCAACCAAAGTCTAGACCCAGAGACTCTGGGGAACCTGGGGACCGCCTTGGAGAAGAAGGAGTAATAGAAACTGTCAGCTAAGCCCAGAGGGGGACTAGAAACCCTCAATGGAGTTCCCAGTCTTGGAGGATTCGCATGGCAGATAGGAACTGACCCTCTAATATACTCCCCCCACCCCCGCAGTGGAAAAAGTCCAGGATCTACGGGACGGCAGATCCAAATCCTTAGGGACTAGGGAGGCCTCAGACCCTGAATTTCCGTCTGCAGGGGCTTCATACCTAGAAATGTCCAGTCCTGAATCGCCGCCCCTCTTTCAGTCACCCTTCAGGGAGAGTCGAGAAGATGTCCGAACCCCAGAAAGACGTACACGGAGTCAGAGAAACACGATAAAGAGATACAACGACTAGAGACACACCGCGGAACAGAAACACACAGCGAGAGACTAGAGACCAAGGGACAGAGAAAGACAGAGACAAATATGTGGGCTAGGAGACAAAGAGGCGACAGAGACATGGAGAGAGACGTGTGGGAAAGAGAGAGAACGCTACAGAGAGACTGAAAGACGTAGAGAAAGACGGGACAGAGACTGTGTCAGAGACAGAAAGAGACAAAGACATAGGCTGAGAGACAGAGAGAGACCCAGAGACTTGAAGGAGGGTGGGGGCACATTTACCTGTCCCCAGCTCTGTCCCTGTTCACCTGTTAACTGCTGCAGACTCTGTGGTCGCTCCTGCCTCCACTGCCTCGCTGGGCTCTGGAAGAGGTGACAGGAGCTGCTGGCAGCCTGGGGTGGTGGGAGGGGGCGGGGGCGGGGCGGGACGATCGCGTGTGAGTATCATAGTCACGTCCTCAGGGAGAGCAGTCACGTCGTCATTATCCTGAGGACCCCCCACCCCCACCCCAAGCACAGTGTCCTTCCTACCCACAGCCCCAAGTCACAGAGTACTCACACACACAAAGTGTAACAACCACCAAGAGAGGCATCAAGGCAGAAGCTGACAAGATTACTCACAGAACCACACATTCACAGTTGTATATTCGCACAATCACATGCAGAGAGCTAATGTCTCTCACTCTCCCAACCCCACCCTACCTGGGCTGACACAGTGACACACAACCACACTTCCAGGGCTATGGACTCCCTACAATGACGCAATGGTAGCTACAACGTCTTGGTGATGCTCTTATGCACACACATACACACAATCACAACCACCACCTGTCTCTCCCACTTACCTATGTGCCCATCAGGACATGCCCAGGCATCTTGGCCATCACTGAGTTCCCAGCATAGCCCAAAACAGATTTGGGACGGTGCAGGGGGTCAGGAAATAATTGTTGATGAAATAAACATAAGTCATTTGGAATTATGATGCCTTTGAATTATGGTGTTGGTTAAATATGCCTTGGAATACCAGAAGAATGAACGAATCTTAAAAGAAGTACAACCAGTATGTTCCTGAAAAGTGAGAATGACCTGACTTTGTTTCACCTACTTCGGAAATGTTATCAGAAGGAACCATTTACTAGAAAAGGAAACCGTACTTGGTACTTGGTACAGTAGAAGGTCAGTGAAAAACAGGAAGACTCTCAAGAAAATGGATTAACACAGAGGTTGCACCTATGGGCTCAAACACAGGAACAGAAGTAACAGATGTGAGGATGGTGTAGAACCAGACAGTGTTTCATTCTGATGTACACTGGGTCACTATTAGTTGGAACCGACTTGATGGCACCTAACAACAACACAGCCACTGGTTCTTTAGTGACATAACCCGAAGGTCACACACAATGTTGCACACAACATACCTATTGATATTCACATAATGTCATACACTTCACATCATCACTATAGATTCCACAGAGCAGTCACATGACTACATGCATGTCCAGCTGTCACTCAGACACACCCTGTCACAGCTCTCAGAATGACACTGTCACACCGACCCCCTCCTTCACGCCGTCACATCTCCCAAACACACAGACAAGTCTCCATCACAAGCCCATGGACACTTGGCTATCACATATAGTTACACATGGGGACCCACATCATGAGTCTACCATTGATCATGCAGTCACATACAGTTTCACACATCTGGACTCCAACACAACACAACTGCACACGGTCCTAAACTGGGTTAACACCACCATCCCAACACTCCACGATCAAGTCCATCACCCATGAAGTTACATAGCACAATTCCATGGCTGCATAATCATACCCGTGTATGACCACACACCATAATCTCTCCACCCCATAGTCACACATAGTCATATTTAGGTTGGTGGTTATGTGTCATGGAGTCAGTTCTGACTCACAGTGACTCTGTATAAGGTTTCCGAGGCTGTAAATCATTATGGGAGTAGAAAACCTCATCTTTTCTCCTGAGGAGCAGCTAGTAGTTTCGAACTGCTGTCCTTGAGGTTCGCAGCCCGATTCGTAACCACTATGCTACCAGAATTATGCACTATCATTATCCCCCAGTCACACAGTAACTCCAGTCTGACCCAGGCTCAGGGTGATGGTCACTATTGAATCACACGCCTTCTTAGGACCTCGACGTCTAGTCTCTTCCTTGTACTATTATGTGTATGTGAGAGGGGCAGGCTTCAGAAACTGAGTCCCAGTTCTCAGCGCCCTTGTGTCTCTATAACACAAACCATCAATTGGTGCACATTAATCATACTATTAGCATTCATGAACACAAATTCCCCTGGGATCTAAGAGATGGGGAGGCAGGATCCAGTCTGACTATTTTTCAGAGGAGAAACTGAGGCCCAGAAGAGGCTCCAAGAAAGGCAAGGTGGTGTGAATAAGGGATGGTTGGAGGGCTAGTACCCCAAGACTGGAAGGTAGCCAGGTTTGGGGGATAGAGGGGGAGTCCACACTTCCTGGCCTCTGGCTGATGGCCTCTTTGCTCTCTGCTCCACATTCCTGGCGCCCTCTGGGTCCTGGGAAAGGCTGTGTTCATGGAGTGGAGTGGAAAGGGGGTGTGACATTGCCCAGCACCTTGGGGTCTCTCCTTGACCACAAGAGAGTCTGGGGACCACCTTGCTGGTTCTGGGGAGCAGGAATGAGGGAGAGAGGATCCAGGACCTGGGTGATGCCTGGGGGTGACATGATGGATTAGTGGGGTGGCTGAGGTCCTAATGATAGGGGTGGGGTGGAGAGGAAAGTAGGAAGAAGGGGGAGGGGAAAGCAGGAAGAAGAGGGAAGTAGTAAAGAGGGATTGAAATGAGGAGAGAGAAAAAGAAACCAAGTACCAACAGCGATCCAGAGGAAAAGAGACAAGGACCGAAAGAGACAGCAGCTATGAGAAAGAGCAAGAGAAAGAGGGAAGAAACCGAGAGACTGAGAGGCAAAAATCAATATGAAAACCACAAAAGACACCAGGGAAGGAAAGAGAGAGAAATAGAAAGAGAGGTAGAGAAAGAGACCAAGAGAAAGACAAACTAAAGATGAGAAAGCAGGGGCTAAGAGAAGATGCAAACTGAACCATCAAGAGATTGGGAGAGAGATGGACGTGGGGTGGGTGAGGGGGCTAGAAAGGCCGAGCCCAGAGGACAGAGATGACCAAGACCCAGACACTTGGAGATGAGTTGTTGTTGTTGTTATGTGCCGTGGAGTCAGTTCCAACTCACAGTGACCCTGTACAGGGTTTCCGAGGCTGTAAATCTTTACGGGAGCAGAAAGCCTCATCTTTCTCCCGCGGAACAGCTGGTAGTTTCGAACTGCTGACCTTGTGGTTCACAGCCCGATTCGTAGGGTGGCCTTAAGGTGCTGTGGCTCAGACCTTTTCACCCCTTCCATGATCACCTCCCAGCATCCTTCACCCCTCCCTTATATCCCTTGAGGAAACACAGGGCCAGGTGGAGGGTGGGTGTGGAGTGCAGGAGAGGAAAGTAGGTCTAGGTAGATGCCTGGGTCTCTGTCCTGCCCCCTGCATAGCCCAGCCCCCTACTCATTTCTTTGTCTCCTAATCAGTCTTTTTGCCTGTCTTTAAGCTTTCTCCTTTCTCTCCTCTTTTCCCATTTTCTTTCTGAGTGTCTGTCTCTTTGTCTCTTTCTCTCCCTCTGGCTCTTGCCCTCCCCTCCTCCACCAATGAGGGGACTTAGATATCTTATCCCTAATACAGTCCCTCCACCCACTCCCCTTGCAGCATGCTGAGACTGGGAAGGAGCTGGAAGGCCTTGTTTTCCCCCATGGGGCTGCATGGCCAAGCAGGGCCTGTGGGGAGCAGGCGGGGGCCTGGAGTGTGGGCAGATGGTACAGAGAAATGAGGCAGAGAGAGATGGGGAGAGGAGGCACCCCATGGTGACTAAGGCCAGAAATGGGGGCTGAGATGACCCCTAAGATTCAATGTTGCAGAGAGATGCTGTCTGAATGATAGAGACCCTGAGAGAGACAGAGATAGGCAGGCAGAGAGGAAAACCCTGGGAGATGGTGTGAGAAACTGACATAAAGATAGAGACACAGAGAGAGGTAGCACTCCAGAGATGGGTGCAGACAGACACAGACACACAGATATATAAGATTGAAGAGAGAGACAAGAACCCAAAGACAGAAATAGAAAGCAATCTAGAGACAAATCCCAAACTGTGAGAATTTAGAGAGAGACACAGAGACAGAGACCCAAAGACAGACTGAGATAGAGACATGAACCCAGAGACCTAGAGACATGAAAAATCAAACACAAAGATGAAATCCAGAGAGCAAGAGACACAGAAGGAGGCCCACAGAGATGAGACCCAAGGGGCAGAGAAACCGAGACGGTCAGATAGAGAAGGAGAGAGACAGAGACAGAGACAGAGGGGAAGTAAGAGAGAGAGACAGGTAGACACTCAGAAGGTGAAACTCAGAAGGAGGAGTGATGTGGATCCCAGAGAGTTGGGAGAGCGAGAAGTAAACTTTCTAC